CCAGGGTCAAACTGCCTCTCTCTGGTGTTCCTGATCACGGGAGATGAACCATTGAGTCCAACCACTCGTGACTGCTTTCCTGGTCTGATATAACCTTGTAATTAGGGATGGAAAGGCTGATTGACTGATCAGAGAGCAGTGGCAGAGCCTGGTCAGTGTCACCAGCACAGCACAGAGCTCCCAAACAAGTGCGGCTGCCTCCAAGTTGCCACCTCCCCATCTACTGCTGTTGCAGCTAAAAGCTCAGGTGTGCCTCTCTCCAAACAGCCATTTCCAGCACAGCACAGAGTCTCCTGTGGGGACAAGGATCACTGCTTCCTGTAACACACAAACATCTCTGTGGATGTAACACACAACTCCATGGAGCCTCCTAAACATACACAAACAAGTCTGAGTGTATGCACACCTTGGGACCTTGGTGAACCACCTGTTCTCTCCGAGCCAGCCAGATAGAGGGAGCAAAACACATCAGTGCAAGTCAGGGAAAAGAGCCACTGTCCTGGTCAAGGTGCCAGGAGACACAGGTGAGCACATCCAGCAGCATCTCATGTGTCTTCAGTCTCAGGTTTGGGATACACAACCTGGGAAAGCAGTGCTGAGAGATGCTGGTGCTCAGCAAGAGAGCTGAGAGCAGTCACCCAAACCAACTCCTCAGGATCATTCTTGGTAAAGAAGCCTCTGTGTCCAACCCAGCTCTGTGCCATGCCCAGGACTGAGCAAGTGGTGGCAAAGGAGATGCTTCAGGAGGATGTTTCATTCTCAGCACCTTCCTGCTTAGAGAAGTCTCCCAGCTGATGATGGGAAAAAGGACTGGAAATGGCTGTTCTCATTTCCTCCTCCATCCCCCAGAAACCACCCCAAGCCAGAGTGCCAGACTTGAAGAAATAAATTTCCCCTTAATCCCCTCTGAGAAGCTGCCAAGCCTCTGGCTGGAGCCTCCACCCACTGCTCCCCTGGCCCCAGACAGCAGGACAAGGTGACACAGAGGTGACCCACGGGCACAAGGCACAGAGTGGCAGCGAGGGACTATCCGAGGTTACTGGAGCAGGGAAGCCTGATCCCTGCCTGGAGCAGTCATGTGAGCTGCTGGGGCAGCTGAGCCAGCACTGCTCCTGTCTTGCTTAACTCTGGCACTTGCTGCTGGGAGGGTGAGAGCCAATTCCTGCTCCCGTCCCGCAGGGAAAAGGCTCACCCGAGGGCAAGAAGAGAGGGGGAGAGGGAGGGCAACCAAATGCTCTTCCCTTCTGCCCTGCACAAACCCAGCTGCCCCAGGGGATGGTGAGCAGGCAGGAGAGAGCCACGGGCAGCTCTGCCAACATGCCCCGTGGCTGCCTGCAGTCTATTGATCCCCAGGCTCAGCAGCACCATTCAACACGGGCTCCAGCCTTTGAATTCCGTGAGCTTTGGCTCAGTGCCTGCTCTCCCCATTTCCACCCTCCAGCTCCTCCAATTCTCACTGCCTGCCTGAAATCACTGAATTACAGAGGGCTGACAGGAGTTTGGAGTCAGCCAGGAGCTCCCAGTGCCCTGCACGGGCAGATCTAGGATTGCAATCCCCAGGTTCTCCTGGAGATTAAACACCCGAGAGCCTCTCTGGAATATCTGGCAACAAGAGGAGGAATGCGGTGTCAGTGTGTGGGCTGGGAGGAAACAAAGGCAGCCTTTTACACACACCCAGCAAAGCCCAGAGAAGGTTTCCACCAGCTGGCTGTCGGCAGGGCCTCGCACCGAGACGTCCTCCTGACACTCATTTCTATTTTCAGCCAGCGGCTCAGATAAGCCTTTGTTGCTTTCTAAGGCCCCAAAACAGATTAGCAGCAGCCTGGAGCAGCCAGGCTCCGAGACACAGAGCACAAGCCAGGACTAAAGATGCTTAGAATTGATGGTGTCCTCCCACCTCTGCCACCAAACCCCCAGGCAGGTTGGTCCCATGGTTCTGTGCTGGAAGGTCAGCACTGTCCCTTTGTAAAGGGTGAGGAAACTGAGGGAGAGACAGAGACAAACACCAGTGATCCCCAGGATATAGTGCCTGTGAGGACCTGCAGCCCAGGCTCTCCCAAACCCTCACTCTGCCACCAGTTTCATGCAGGATCCTAAGTTCTGCTCCTCTATCACCATCAACACTAGTAGGGGACACTGCCCTTCAATGTCCTTGCCCTGAGCACAGGGAGCACAGTAGAGAAGGTGATATGACAGACCCCAGACACATTCAAACCACCTACAGCCAGGAAAAGCAACAAGATTCACAGGGGCCAAGGGATCTCCCAGCTAGAGAGGGGCATGGAGGACCCAAACCAAGCAAGGAGAGCACGATTCACTCCCTGCTCTGATCCCTGCCACGAGAAGGATGTCAGTAAAGGCTTTGAAGATGTCCTGACTCCACGCACTGACTGGCAAATCCAAGGAAGGACTGCATCACCACTTCCAAGGATAAAATCCAGCAGGGATACTGGGAGCAGGATTGGACAGGGCACTCAGCAAACTGGCACTGGGATTGCTGCACGCTCACTGCTCTGCCAGGAATGAACAAACAGCCTGGCTTTCCAAGGAATTACTTCCTCCTAAACAAAACTCACTGGGATGACAAACAGCAACAGAAAGGACAAAAAGAAAGATTAAGAGGCCAGCAGATTAACCAGAGCTCCTGAGCTGCAAGCAGTCAGCAGCTAAATCTGTAATTTGACCACAGCAACTCAGAGCCATGACGAAAACACCCTGGAGAGAGAGAGATAGAGGGGTGTCTGTGTGTGGGAACAGGTGGGCTCAGGGCTCCCCAGCCCCTTCCCCAGCCTGGCTCCAGCTCCAGCAGCTGCCCAAAACACTGCCAGCATTTGTCAGAGCTCCACGGAGCCCAGAGATGAATGGACAGAGAGGGCTGAGCGCGACGCGGTCGCTGGCAGCTGTCAGTCCAGAATGAGCAATGGGCTTTTAAAAACCCAACAACTCTTCCACAAGGACAGCAGAGCCAGCTCTGCACGGCAGAGGGATACAATCTTCCAAAAGGGAACAAAGCCAGGAAGAAAGCAGCCCCAGTTGGCTGGCTGTGGCCCCGGAGCAGGGCACGGGGGTTAGTGGAGCGTGGAGGAGGAGGAGGAGGAGCAGCTCAGGGCTGAGCCTTGGGGCTGCTGAGCTCCCCCTCCTCGCTGCCCCGAGAGGCCACGCCGCCAGCACGCTGCATTACGGGATAAAAGTAGCGGAGCTGCTCGGCTCTGGCTTCCACAGTCACGCTAGAATGAGATTAAAAGGAAAGGAGGACAAGAGGCACTCGAGCCTGGATGCCATTGGGCGCCTGCAGCAGAGTCCTCCCAGCGCCAGCATTCCCATAGTGGGACCTGAAACAACCAGAGCACAAAATACACACTGCAAAACATCCACCAGCATGAAAACAGGAATTCACAGCGTGCTGGGAGGCTCCAGGCATGTCTGCAGAGCTCGGGATGGAGCAGGATCCTCTTGTTTGCAGCATGGCTCAAGTCAACAACCACTTCCCTGATATTAGAGCTTCTTCTCACATGGATGTTTTGCTCTGGTAGGATTTTGTCAACTCAGCTCAAACCTCAAACACTTTCCCTCCCCCCCCCCCAAGAGCTTAAGGAAACATTCCATCAAATAACTGTCTGCTTCCAGGCTCCAAATTCAGGAGAGATTCTAAATTTAGGTCTCTTGGACACAAACAGTGACCAGCACCAGCAGGCTGGGGCAAGAAACCAGGAGGGCACAGGATAGTGGGAATCAGTCTCTGAGCAGCACAAAGGGAGTTGCTGGCAGAAAACACCTTTTTTGCAAAGTGTACTAAATAAGTTAAACATTAAACTCGATGCAAAGTTCAGGCACTACAGGAAAAGACCAGTGAAAGCATGAATGAGGAAGGAAAATATTTGCCAAACAATAACAAAATTGTTAGCCCTGTGGTGGCTGCAATGTCCATTCTGTGACAAAGCTCTTGCACCTGTATGCAATTAAGACCAAAGAAATGAGGTTGGGCTCCTCAGTGTTGACTGAACTCAACTGTATAAGCAATATATTCCACCCTGCCCTTGCAATGAGAGACATGACCACAAATATTGACATTGGTAAGTAGTAAATATAATTTTTAATACATTCTTCCCTATCTCTTGGTGCCCCTTTGCTGGTGATACCACCCTGGGCATCACTCACTCCCAAGTAACTCCAGCTGCTGCCTCCCCTCAGTCACTTACTTACACCTCCACATTGCTTTGGGGTAGTTAACATTAAAATAACTGCTTCGATTTCCTTCCAAACGGTGAATTTCTTGGGGATGAGTGGCTTGAACAGCCCCATCTCTGAGCTTTTAGTTGTGCCACCATGTTCAGAGCCCCCAAGTCCATATGGCACCGTCCCCTGAGAGCAGGAGGGGAGACAGTGACACTGCTGACATGAAACAAACAACTGCTCAGCCAGACCGGGGCACCAGGGCTGGGACAGGGACACTGGGATAGGGACAGTGGGGCTAGAGCAGGAGCACTGGGACAGGGGCACTAGGACAGGGGCACCAGGGACAGTACAATGGCACTGGGGCTGGGACAGGAGAACAAGGACAGGGGCACCAGGGCTGGGACAGGGGCACCAGGGCCAAGATAGGAGTAACAGGAAAAGGATAATGGGGACAAGACTGGGGCACTGGGACAGAACAGGGGCACTGGGACAGGACAGTGGCACTGGCACAGGAGCACTTGGGCAGGGACAGGGGCACCAGAACAGGAGCACTGGGGCTGGGACAGGGGCACTGGGACAGGATAGGGGCACTGGGACCGGACGAGGACAGCTGGGACAGGGCAGGGGCACCAGAACAGGGATGCAGAGGACAAGACAGGGGCACCA